TTATCATTTTTCAAGTCATGTGATTTTATATGAACTCCCGTTATAAGAACAATCTCGTTATACGGACATTTTTTGTCCGTCCCACGAGTGTCCTTATAACGGGAGTGACCTGTACCAAAGATAGATATGAAAACAACTATGCTCAAGTTGATCCTGATTTCCATTACCTAATAAGTATTGTATAACAAGGAACAGGAAACAGGAACGGAACAACTCTGAACATCCATAATAGAAACTTGAATATCATACCAAAAAAGGAAGTGTCACACACAAAATCACCACTGACACGTGTAGTAGTTACCATTTTTAATGGTGATATTCGGGTTTGACCAATCACATTGCAAGTAAAAAGATTATAAAATTTTGCTGGAACACCTAATATAAGTTTCCGGGTCCTCTCTCAATGCATAAATTTAGCCAATCATATTTTTCTTCCAGTATCACAGCAAATTAGGAATGGCTGTATTCATAAATTGGGTTGGGTTGGATTGGATTATATTTTCTTATTCAAAAGCAGTCTATTGGCCCTAAAATCCTGTTCACAAATTTTTTGAAGATAATCCTGAGATTAGGATTAGATTATTTATATTGTTTCTACTTTAAAATTCTGATACTACATTTCTGTTGGATTATAATGAGGATTTGCAATTTGGTTGATTAAATTCACTTATGTTCCATACTTTTTTTTAAAAAAAATATGGACATTACTGACCTTGTAAATGGCAACAAGGCAAATTCAAATCCTTTAAATAAAAATGAAATTAAGACTACTTGGCTGGAACCTGCAGTTTTGATTTAGTTATGTTTTTTATGTGATAATAAAGAAGGTTTAAAAGCTTTAAGTAATAAGAATATTTAAGTTATTATTATTCAATGGTTTGGATTCCATTAATCATGTAACATAAATTTGTGAATAGGGATTAAGATCCAGGATTATCTAGATTATCCAATCCAATCCAAAATTAAATTGGGAATATAGCAAACTTCTAGAACATCAATCAATCATTACAGTATTTAGAATTCTAAATTTGTTATAAATAATTTCACTATACTGGAAATATGAATTGCTGCAGCATAATATGGTCAGCAAACAAGGACAAAAGTTTAAGGCTGAACCCTTAGGCACTTGAGTTTCAACCTTAAACTTTTGTCCACTCTGACATGCCATATTATAAAGGGTTAAAATCCCAATTTAGTAATAATTGTCATATTAATAGTTTAGTCAGTTTAGCCAAGTGCTCATTTAAGTTACACAGCTGGCACTGATTGTTGCATTGACCTTTAATTGATATTGATTTTGTGTCATGTTTATTGATTTCATTGGAATCACATTTGGAACATTTCTGCCTTTGATGTATTAGGGTTTGAGACTCAAAAATTATTTTAAAACATCACTACTTTTGCTGCCAAAACCCCATCATTTGCATCAATATCAATTATTATTATGATGAAAGGATTTTTTAACAACTTTATTTAGACAAAACACAAGTATCATAATAAAACTATCACATTTAGTGCTCCTCTTGATAGACTCCGAGCTAGAATTTCTCTTCAATTTTATTCCATTACTTGATAAAAACAAGAATGTGATATTTATCTAGTGACTATACTGTATATTTAATCCTGAGTGACAATGTATATACTTAAATTGTAGGTTTAATTCCTTGGTGCTTTAATAATCGTTTTAACCCCCCCAATTTCTCTTTTCAATTATGTAAACATCATGACTATGTATTTAATAATAGTTTCAATAGATAAAATCGCTAGATTGATTTCTTGTGCATTTTCGAGTGACCAATTATATATTACAAATCGTTTTTGGAAATGGTAATAGTAATAGGTGCTGCCGCAAAATCCGAAATGCCTATTAATCAGTAACACAGAAACTTCTAAATCGATGTTTCATTGTAAATAACGGATTAATTCCTGAAATATTTTTTATTGGTTTTCAATATTTTCCCAATTTTTAAATTTTTATCCAGCAAAAATTGATAATAAACAATTAAATTATACCCCCTCCATACTTACTTGGTAGACTAACTAAATGATCTACCTAAATATTCGACATTGCATCATTGTTATCATTGTTAAAAAAATCAAATCGCGTTATTGTTAGATAAAGTTGAGTGAGTCTATTCTTTTTGCTCCTTCAATGTATGATATGATATTGGAAAATTAAGTGAAATTTTCCATTTATTTATTTTTTATCTACTCAAACATAATAAGTGTCCTTAAAAAATTTTATGCCATTTTTACCCTTAGTTTGTCTGAGGACTCAATTAGAAAGAAGTTTCCGGAATTCTGGCATAAGAGTTATATTGTTGATAATTGTACTTTCCACTGTACATTTTTGGTGGTTGAGTAATTTTAAAAAGATAATATTGGAATTTCTTTGAATGTTTGAAAACATTTTTCATCTAACATACATCGAAATTGCCTCTGCATTTTTCGAGTTACCTTGATAGTTTATTAAACAGAACCTAAGCTACGTATTATTTAGATATAACAACCCCTGGGTGGATGTAAAGTGTTTCAAAGTCGAGTTTTTAATAATTATAATCTGTACATTGTCGATCAACCAAGTAAATAATAATAAGATCAAAGTATGAGTCCCCAAGCCTCTATATATCCTCTTAATGTATTAAATCTTTATGGTTAAATCAAGAATACCTCCTACTTTTGTATGTATATGAGGAAAAGCAGTTTTGCTGAATATGAAAGGTAATAAATTAAGTAGGTGTTTATCAATAGTACTTTGCTGAATTAGAACTCAAAAAGAAAAACTTGCATCGATAATCTTTTATTGTTGAGATCACAATACTGCGGTTAAGTTTGTAGTAACAAGGTAATACTAAGTTTTTAGATCAGAGGATAGATAATATTTTATTTATTGCAGTGTAAGCTTATTATAATATAACGACAATATTACTATCTCTCTGGTATTGACTACTACTAAAGAGTAGATTCTTGAAACTGAATTTTCTTTCCTACATTTTAATTTCCTATTTGCACGTAGGTTTTGTGATAATAATACAGAAAATATAAATAAGTTCGAAGAAATGTAATATCAAATTAGTAGAAACTTCTTATTTAGACAATAATACCTGCTGACTGACTCTGGTACAATCAATTTGTGAAAAAAATTTTACTAACTATCAAATGATGTTATTCATATAACTAACAATTAATTTGGGATGTAATGATTTTCTGATATGACGGACGACATCACGAGAAGCTGCCCAGATTCAACAGTCCCTCAGCCGTGGGTGGACCTTTATAATGTTATCGATTCTGTTGATGCTATTAGAAATATTTTCATTGCATTCAGATTCGCAAGCCAATCAAGTCAAGTATGGATAGATACGTTAATTAGAAGAAAAATTCAAGTAATTATATTAATATTTAACGATGACAAATACAAACTGTATTAGAGTACAGTAGCAATGGTTATAAAACTAGCAGGGGAAAAACAAGTTTTTATGGACCATATCCTATAATTTGGCCGATGGACGGAGGCTGTCACCTAATCAATTATTGTCGTCATTAAGTCAATTAATATTTGCGATTTTTAATTATATGAGTTCTGTCAAATCAGTAACGATGAAATCGAATTTATGGCATAATCTTCAAGTATAATTCCACTAATCAAATTATCTAGTTATAAGGAATGGGGGAGAGTTCCTTTATAAAGAAAATTCGTCACCCATGTTTTTATTATTATTATTATTACTGGTGAGCTGGCGCTTGGAAATTAATATATTTTTAAAGAGAAAAATTTTCATTGAGAGCCATAACGGTGATTGAAATTCTACAAACTTACAAACTAAAGATATATTTGGTGAAATTCCAGCTATCGATAAGCAAACACAGTATTTTTTTTTTTTTTTGCCCAACTCTTCCTACTATTTTATTTACAGTTTCATGTAATACCAGTAAAAAAAATTATAGGTCGCCCATGTAAAATTGTGCTATAATAGGAAAATAGAAAGTTATTTGATGACTACTAAAACCATATTCGAAAGTGATTTTCACAATTTTAAGATAACTTGCAAGGTCAAGAAAAGAAAATGCATAAAAAATTCTATTAATTATATATGAAAAAGGGCTTTATTATTACCAATATACATTATATGTATTACATATATGATACGACATCAAGTTGTAAAAAAAAACTTTTTATTAAAAGAGTTCTTCGACTAAATGTATATATATTACGATTATGTTATAAATAAAATAATGATTGAGTTAAGAATAATAACAGATAAAATAATAATTAATAATAATAATATGATAATAGTTGAATTAGTTTCAGTTATTATTTGCAGAAAAATATAAACTTGTAAGTTTTCTTATCTCATCTAAAAAATTTCCAAAAATATATTATTATTTGTTTTAAAAAACTATATTATACGAATAAATAAATATATATTATTACCTTCAACTTCTATAAGTGATGTATCTTTTTTAGGTACAACAATATAGAGTATACGTTTATCAGACCTTCTCCCAACTACCCAAAAATTTGTTGTAGATCTTGTATAGACTTCTGTCAATTGTTGATGTCTAATATTATAATAATTAATTAAAAAAAAAGAAAAAAGTAAATATAAATATATATATATATAAATGCAAATGTAATGTGTATAATAACACCAACTTTTCAAGATCTTCATGTATATCACATAATGCATGAGCCATCTCGTTTGTAATAGTTAATCCTCTGAACACATTTCCATTAGATGACGATGATGATGATGAAGTTGATGATATGGTTGGTGGTGTTAATGACAATGAATGTAATGAAGTCTTTATAGCCAAAGTCATTTTATCAAAATATAAATATCGATATTCTCTATCTATATCCACTTTATTTCTTTGCATATGATGTTTATAGAATGTTTATATTTATTATAATACTAAAATATTTATAATAATAATAATATGAATAAATATTTATTTACCCAAATTTTCTTGATTTTTCATAATCCTCATTTACTGCATTAATTATAGATTCAGATCTAATAGATAAACATTCATCTAGAGATATATAAAATTTCATATCGTATACTTTTGTAATTCCTTCCACCGATTTGGCCGGTATTAAGAATGCAAACGTAAGAAAATCTTGCTATGTTATTAATAAATTTGTTAATTTAGATTTTTTTTTTTTTTTGAAAAATAATAATTACCTTCCAGCGAATAAATAATAGGGTACCTTATATGCAATTAGAAAATATTTTTCAACATTGTCAACAACATCATTATATTCGTCATCATCAATTTCTTTATCGTCTAATTTTTTTACTAAATAAATTGTCAAAGGTTTAATATCTCTATTAGATCCATCTAAATCTGTTGGTCCTATCAAGAATTTTGATAAATTTATTTCGGATGGTAAAGAAGAAGAATCAAGGGGAGGCTCTGAAGAAGATTGCTGCTGCGGCTGTTGTGTAGATGATGAAAAAGAAAAAGGATTAAGTGACGATTCAAAGGAAAGGAAATGACTTTGCTGATTATCAGATGACGTTGTTGTCGATGATAATGATGATAATGATGGAAATGATAAAGAATTTGGCGAAAAACGAGAAAAAGGATTAGCTCCAGAAATCAACTTTGTAAATCCTTTAATTGTTGAAGAAAACTAAATAATAAACAAATAAATAAATAAATAAATATAAATATACGAATATATAAATAAATAATTTCACAAATTTTTGAAATAGTCATTACTTTATCACTGTCTTTGGTATTCTTTTTTCTTTCAAGTTCTCTTTCGAACAAATTTCTTTCAGAAATCAAGGTATCCAAATGTTTCCAAATTCCTTTTAGTTGATTTTCAGGAATGCTTCCATTGTATATCAATTTGTTTTTCCATAACACTACAGCGTCTTCTATTATTTCATATTCCGAGTGAATTTGTTCGATTAATGATGTTATTTCCAAATATGCTGGCCTAGAAAGTGGAAGATAGAGAATACCTATAATATATATAAATGTGCGAGTGTGTGTATGTGATTATAATAATAATATAATAATATATTTTAAATATATTTATATCATATTATTACAAGCATGTTTACCACTAACATAATATCAATATTATTATAATTACCATCGACAATTTTGGTTAATTCAGTCTTCTCAAAATCCCATTCAAATACCCAATTACCAAAAAATTCTTCTAATTTAACCTTTAAAGATTTCACTCCTGAAGTTCTTGTTGTCAAATCAAAAGTTCCATTAAATAACTAGATAAAATAATTAAAAATATCAATCAATTATTGATTGTAAATATAATCAAGTTTAAATGCACGTTAAAATACACGAGATATAATAATAATTACTTGCCCTGTACATTTCATATCCAATTTCTAACATTTTTCCAATTTCAGAATCGTGTAAATTTACATCTAGATATTCAGTTATAATCTTTGGTTTTCCATCTTTATCTTTAGTTGTTCTCCTGACATATCCTAGTTCAATCAACTTTTATCCCGACAAAAAAAAATTTTAAATTTTTAAAATAAAATAAATAAAACGAATTGTAATAATTAACAATTAATAAATTAATATTTACAACATGTATCCAATAATTTGGTTCAGCTTCATAAAATGCTAATCGATTTTTTTGCGTATGAACATTTTCACATGGTTTAGTAGGGGAAAATATTCTGAAATAGTGTGTTGCACAGTAATAGAGAATATTTCAACAAAACTATATTTTAAAAATTTTGATTTGATATTCAGTCAAAAAACATTTGCCACAATCTTTTCTTTTCTAATTGTCTCTTTACATATAACTAACTTTGTAAAGTTTACTATTCCTTGAGCCAAACCAATTTGACGTATTGTTGTATCCAATGGCACCTGTTTTCTTGAGGTATAATAAAGAATCTGATCTTTTTGAGTTTCTTCCGTTGGTCCGAGAGTAGGATTATAAATGCAAAAATACGATAGACATGGAGGAACACTTATAGCTCCTTGACTACCGCCGCCACCACCACCATTACCACCATCATCACCACCACTATTATTATTATTATTCATCGTATTAGCAGTTGGCGTTGTTTCAGATGTTGTTGAATCCATTTTTGAGAAATTTTAAAATATAGTAATAAGATTGACCAATCACTAAATATTTTAAAGATGGATAAAATGATTTGATTGGATTTTTTTTATAGGCTATATTAAAAGTTACACAGCACTTACATATATTATATAAAAAAAGATTTCTTTTTTTAAATTATTGTTTTATTTGGTATTGTAATATTAATGACTTGTATTACAAATTTTATACTATAATAATGTTTATTGTTCTTGTTAATTATTTATTATCGATCCCATTTATTATTTTTAAAGTTTCCCTTTGAATTCCATGGAGTTTTTGGTAAATGATTGTTGGAGGTAAAATAGTAATAATATGGCTTTTGTTTGTGTGGTAAATCCAAATGTTAATAATATAATATTATTTAATATTATGATGACATCAACCAGAAACCTGTAATTCCTCGCTCGATTATAATGTTTTTTTTCGGACTATTTGTATTTATTATTATAAATATAAATATTTAAGTTATTCTCTCGACCAATCGATTTAATTGTTGATTACTAAATTGGACATTCAATACAGAAAAAGAGTTTTCTTTTCTATAATAAAAAAATTAAAAATTTTTTTTTGTTTCCTTTTGGATTGTTGGTCTCGCTTTTATACAACGTACTTACTTTATTTATACTTGCATTTAAACTATCGAACAAAACCATCTAATTTACCAATTATTGATTATTAATATTAATGAAACAATAATTTTTTTGACAAAAAGGCAAAAATACTGTTGTACTAAATAATAATAACATTGGGAATAATATGTCACGAGTAGATAAATAAACATCACATAGAAAATGATTTTTTTTACTCTTCTTCGGATAAACCATTCTGAATAAGTTCACACGAATAGGTGTTGTTTACCCTAGTGAATCACTGTCCCCAGAAGCTTCTTAAAAGGCAGGCTCTCAATTCATGGGTTGCATTGATCCAACTAAACCAACATTTAATAATTTAAATCATGTTCCCCTTTTACCAGAGTCTGAAAATTTCGAAGACTCTGAGCTTAAATGGGTTCTTGGCACCCTTCTAGCATTAGGGAAGCAGGAATTAAAAATTAAATATTTTAGACCTAAAAAAACAAGCTACAGTCAATCATAAAATCAGCAGACTGGGGAGATATTAAATCACATGAGAAAATACCTAAAACATACAACTGCTGTTGTCTCATCATGAATCGTTTGATGTATCTTCCCTAAACCACTTGAAATTGAGGCTGATAACCAGAGTTCTAAATTCTCAACGGTTGAAGGGAGTTTCTCTCGATACAGAGAACTTGCACAATAAAAATAGAATATATCGCTTATGCTTGCATCGTAATAGAATCCCAAAATGAACAAAAGGGTTCAATTCGTGGCAAAGAAAATAAAGCGTAAAATATGTAATAAAATTTGTAACCTTGTAAATGTCGTCGTTTGGTTTTATTTCCCGAGTTGAAAACACAAGACATGGTTAAAAACAAATGTTAACCCGGCCACATTACCGATTTAAATTTCAGTCATTTGCCTCATAAATCCCTCAAAGTATCCTTGGTGGATGTTGTGGAGCTCGTAGTATGCTTTATATCAAAGAGTTCCATTGTAGGCTTCGTCTACGTATGACTTGTATGGTTAGTAGTGAAAAAAAAAATTTTTTTTGTGATACAAAATTACTAATACAAAAATCATATCACACCCACTTTGTCTTTTGGCATATATATATATATATATATATATATTCATTATTAATAATAAATAGGTATACGTAATATATATACACGTAAGTATATTATTATTTATTTATATTATATATGTAGTATATTATTTATTATTTTTCATTTATTATTTTATAATTAATAAATAAAAATGAGATATAAATACACAACCTTTTTGTCCCAAGCAGAAAAAAATTAATATAATAATTTTCTCATTATTCTCTCTCTCACACCATTTTTATTTTTAAAAATTTTTTTTTGTAAAACAAAAAAAAAAATTTTTTTTCACCACCACATCATATATTATTTGCTCTTTTTTTTACAACTTTTAACCCTACATACACAAAATTTTTTTAAAAAAATTATTTTTTAATTAACAAACATGCAAATTTTCGTCAAAACTCTTACCGGTAAAACTATTACTCTCGAAGTAGAATCCTCTGATAGTATTGATGCAGTTAAACAAAAAATTCAAGATAAAGAAGGTATTCCTCCAGATCAACAACGTTTAATCTTTGCTGGTAAACAGTTGGAAGATGGTAGAACATTGTCAGATTATAATATTCAAAAAGAATCAACCTTACATTTGGTCCTCCGTTTACGTGGTGGCATGCAAATTTTCGTCAAAACTCTTACCGGTAAAACTATTACTCTCGAAGTAGAATCCTCTGACAGTATCGATGCAGTCAAACAAAAAATTCAAGATAAAGAAGGTATCCCTCCAGATCAACAACGTTTAATCTTTGCTGGTAAACAGTTGGAGGATGGCAGAACATTATCGGATTACAATATTCAAAAAGAATCAACCTTACATTTGGTCCTTCGTTTACGTGGTGGTGCAAAAGTTGTAAAATGCAAATTTGGTGAATGTAAAGACAAGGCAACTAAGATTGTTGGTCATTGTAGGTATTGCGAGTTGGACTACTGTGGTAGACATAGATTACCTGAAGCTCATGCCTGTGTCAACTTGACAAGTTGTAAACAGGCTAGTTTTGAAAAAAATGCTGCTAAATTAAGAAGTGAACAATGTGTTGCTAGTAAATTAGTTAATTAATTAATTAATTAATTAGATTTAAATAGACTAATAAATAAATTAATAATTATATAGTAATTGTTAGCAAACAATTATTATTATTTTTTTTTGTATTATAAAATCTTTATTTCTGTATAGACATTAATTTTCTTTGATTCCTTTCCTTTACCCATAGACAGTTCGTGTGTAACATTTCACGAACAAGCAATTTTTTTATTTTCATTTTTTTTTTTATTAATAATAGATGGTAGATAAACATTCTATAATATAAATAAATATATTAAACATTATTATTATTATTATACAATTACGAAAAACTTGAAATTGATCTATACTCAATTGTTTTCTAAAATATGATCTTACAAAGAAAATTATTAACATTCTCCATGGAATTGATTGAAGAGGAAAATTAGTACGGCGCAGATCATCTATAATCATTAATTGCTTATAATACAGTCAAGTATTTTACCAAATTTGGAAATCGATTCTAGAAAAATTGGAAACCCCTTGTTGATCAATTCATATATGTTACAAACGATTTAACGTGACATGTCGTGCTTTGTGAAAAATAAAATTTTTAAATAATAATAACAATAATAATTGAAATAAGTGCTTCTGAATATATATTTTAAGAATCCACCGGGATCCACGCAACCTTACATACTAGTTTTTTTTTTATACATAGGAGACATATTGACTAAAACATATCTCTTTTTTTTTTTTTTTACAAAGTTGATTCTATAATTTTTAATTCTAACAATTAGTTATGGCGAATGTTAGACCACTAGCTAAGACCTTACCATGTTTGTATGAAGATATTGCAAACAAATATCCAAGAAGCCAGTTGACATTATGTGATAATGATCTAGAAAAACGATGGAAACATGCGTCAGCACCAGCATCAGTTGAACGTGCATCTCTCATTGCTAAGTATTTTCCAGAATTATCATTTGATTCATTAGAAAATTACTCAGTTTGTCAAAAACATTATAATCAAATAGTTGCTAAAGATATTTTTATTGAGAAATTACAAAAGGACAATATTATATATACTTCTGTTGATATAAATTCAAATAAACAGCTTAGGAATTTATGATATCAGGATCTTTTGTCAGAGTTAGAAAAAATAACAAATGAATTAATTAGTTCAGAGTCACAGCGAGTAAATTATGTTAATATCATAAAAGATTATGAACAAAAAATAATTGAGTTGGAACATCAAAATGAAAATTTAATTTCAGAAAATAAAGAATTGAAAGAAAAATGGAATAGAAGATTTGATGATCAAGAAGTAAGAATTGACATTATAAAAGAAATTGCTAGGTATGAACGAAAAAATATATATCAAGATATTGTTAATTTAATTGATGACCAAGAAAGATTCACTTTGGATAATCTTTTATCATATTCAACTTCAGAGTGGCTTGCTAAACGTAATCCAGTTCTTGTTAAGTTTATAGAGGCTCTTATTTATAGTGAAAGTGAAAATCAACATGACAGTGAAAAACTTTTCAAATGTTCTGTGGCAGTAGATGCTGTCTATGGAGCAAGGAATTTAAAATATGTTTCTGCAATTAATTTAGCAACTTCAGCAATTAAATATTCATTGTCAAAATCTAGAACCATCATTGACATAGATAATCATATTTTAAGTTCTGGTAGCTTTACAAAATTTATAAAATGGCAAGAAAATTTGGCTGGAAAAGCTGAACCACTTCCAAAGGGGTTATTATTTATGGCATTTGACAATGAACAAAAAGGACAAAAAAATTATTTAGATCATAATTATAATACAGTTATATATCACATTGTTACAAGTTTTATTTCTTTTAATTTTGATCCTGATAATCAAATCCAAGTTCTTGAAGACCCTTGGTTACATGAATCCTTAGACCCATCACAAATTCAAGAACTTTTTGATATTACACCAGGAATGCATGAATTACTCGATCAACAACTTCATGATTATCTTTCAACTATCATCTCTGAAGCATCTGTAGAAAAAAATAAAGATATAAATACTATTAATGACCTTGTGACTAAGTATAATGTAAAAACAGGAAACATAAAATGGTGTAATCAATGTGGTATGAGAGAAATAGAGAATTTAAAGCGTAGGTGTCCTCAGTGTAATGCACTTTTACCTTTACTTGCAGATTTTCAAAAAATGGAACAAGAAATAAGTCAGGAAGCATCTGAAAAAAATATTACAAAACCTTTGAATATTAAGTTCCATCAAATTGAAAAAGACATACCAGATTTGAATATAAGCTCCATTAGTGTAACACGAAAGTCAGCACCTGAAGAAGGCATCAATACACCACATATTTTTATTCCAGATCCTTTGTTAATAAATCCAAATTCTATTGCCAATGTTCGTAAGGTTTTTGATCATATACAAGAAATCAGTGGGATCAACAAACAAGAAAGAAAATGGATTGCAGTTGTATGTGATGGAGTTCCTTACCATCATGCACAAACAATTAAAAAGGAATATCCTGGAATTATTTTGTTGCCTGGAGCTCTCCATGAGGAAATGAATATGCTTAAAGCTTTCGTAGAATTGAATTGGTATGTTCTAAAAAAATATGTTTTTTAGTTATTATTTAATTAATGAAAAACCTTTACCATGTCTTCTGAGTTTTAGGGATATTGATATGAAAAGCTTTGCTCTATGCCAAGGTTATCTCAATGAAAAATCATTAGGCTATTTTAAAAAATGCAGTGACTATCATAAAGCATGGGATTCAGTATGTAATATTTATCGTCATGCTAATGCTATGGAATTAGTGTGGCCTTATGTTACTACTGTTTCCAATCCTTGTGTTGATGGATATCTCAGCTGGGTTAAAGACCAAAAAGATGAATTATACAAGTTAAAATATGAGCAGGTAATTCTATTATTCTTACTATTTAAAATTTTTTTTTTGAAAAATAAATGACTCTTAATAAAAATATTTTCTCAATTTCAGATCTTTTGTTACTTACAGGCAATAATTAATTTTCATGTAAGCATTAGAACTAATCAACCTTCACTTAAAGCTGCTGCTTGTAGAATGTTTGCTCCAATTTGGTCTGCAAGGAGACACCCCATTTATAGATTAATTGAATTGACTGATGAGGAACAATTATTACGTCTTCGTCCTGAAATTCGTCAACTGATTGAGAAAAATTCAGTTGTTTCGAGATCAGGATGGTTAAATCAACATCAAGGATTGGATGCTATACTTGAAGAAATAAATAAGTCACTGAAAACACTTATTCCACCTGTGCCAAATCAAAAGCATTGGATAATTGCAGCAAGAAATTGCATGAAATTCATTATGGTAAGTTATCTTAAAAAATTAATAATCTTAATATTAATATATTTTATATATTTTTTTAATATTTACAAACCTTCTTTTGGCTGGCAGTTAAGAAAAAAATTGCTTGCTACTATTGGATATACAGATCAAGAGAGTATAGGTCCTCGTTCAAAACCATCTTTTGAGAAAGAATCACAACGTTTTCGTGTAGAATTAAGGAAGAAAGATTTCTTAAATCCATTTAAACTTGATCCTGTTTTTGAGAGTTTAGATGGAAGTAATAAATTAAGTGAAGGTATGAAATCATTTAGCAGCATGGCTCAATCTCGCCAAAGAAATTATATAAATGAGAAACTGAACTCAAATGGATTACCAGAAAGAAGTTTTCGCCCTATTCCAGTTACCTTTGAAGAAGAAGAAAAATATTTGAGTGAACAATCAATGACAAAGAAAGAATTATTAAATGTAATTCATACATTGATTGGTTCCTTGAATGAAAATAATCGGCCACAGTTTAAAAACTTATCATCAAAAAAAAAAGATGATTTATTACTAATTCTGCAACAAGTCAAAGATCTCAATGATGATGTTGATGAATCAGAGGGAACTATTTTAACAGAAACTAACATTAAATGAATTAAGAGATAAGTAAAAAAATATATTTTAATTATTTATTTACAGCCAAACTTTGTTTATAAGAAAATTGCATCTAACAAAACCTGTTATTAATCACATTTCACGAATTTTATATTATGTGTTTAAAAATTTGTTAATTATAATTCATTGTAATGCCAATTTTATAGTTCGTTTCATTATAATGCGAATTTATAATTTGTTGAAACAAGTTTCATTGTAACGCGAATTTATGATTCGTTGAAACAAGTTTCATTGTAACGCGAATTTATAATTCGTTGAAGCAAAGGTTTGACTATATTCATTTTTTTTTAATTTATTTTCTCTCTCTATTAATATATATATATATATAAATCATCACTGTCTATAATGGATTCTTTCTATAATAAACATTTATTCATAAGCCAAATGGCCTGTTATAAAGAGAGTGAATAATAATAATAATAATAAACTTTAGTATATTTTACAGTTCA